GTAGTGGTTATCCGTCCGACTGTCGTTGATTTCTTAGTTATATATCTTGTACATTAGTATGGATTACGAGTATTTCTTATTTCATTAGATGCCTAAATCACTAACCTGACAAGAATCATACACACTAAGTTAACTATAATAGGTATAGTTAAGGCCTCTATTACTCGCTTTAGCTACTACTCTACACACTATAATACTCTCTATTATGAAACTATACAGTAATAAGAGAATACAATACGAGTTATACAAAAGACTACTACACTATAATAAAAGAGAAAGCACCAATCATGAGATAACACATTAACCCACTACGAGATACTCTATTCGCTACGCACTACGCCCAGAGTTTTCCGATAGGAAGACGACGCTATATGTATAGATCTATACGAGGCAGACGCTATTACATCCCGACTGTTAACTTCAGTCCGAGCCGCACAGGTCCAGGGATGCCACTACTCTACTACACTGTGCATGATCGGGAAGGTCATGGGGTCCGCTATTACTCACACTATTGGTAACATACAAGAAATACACTATAACCGCACTAAAATACTAAACTAAAGGTAAAGTTAATATCCCGAAGTAAACAAGTATCTAATACTAAAGGAAGTTGCACCACTATTATTGACTTCAAGTATAACTTACCATATTGCATTACTTATTGGTGAGTCACTATTATACTTTCACGATAAATGGTTTTCAAAGATGAAAATGACATATTTCTTAAAGGTTTTCACTTACTATGCATTTCTGGTAAATATAGGATTTTCTAGGTTTTACTACTACTTATGACTGTAAATTTCAGCTTTTCATACTATCGGTTCTAATGCTTTTTATACGAAAACTCACACTAAACTCTTATGAACTCACCAGCTTTATGCTGATATTCGTTTTCAAAATAACTTGTATCCTCAGGTCAATGATAGACAGGTGCAGGTGCAACATTTTGGAGAAGGTGGAGCATACACGATCTATCTCTTATTTTTGTATTACTTTTGGTGTTTGTTGAACATTACAAAACACACTTGTAAATACACTCACTATGTAAATGAAATGGTTGTATGTTTCTTGTTTATACTATTATGCAATTGTGATGATACTGTACACTACGTCCTCCACCCCGAAAAGTATTCCGCCGTTATCGGTTTTGGGGTGTGACACATTAATAATTGGGTCCCAACACATAACCATAAGTTCTTAGAGTAACATGCTACATTACCCCATATTGGCTTGATTCTAGCCCAAGGCCCAATCTAAAGTCCCAAAAGTCAAAGTAGGAATCAAAGCCTAACATATGGCCTAATTTTCCAAATTGGGCCCAAACCTTTACATCGTCTTATTCAAAGGCTCAACCATTTAGTCCAGCCCAAAAATATGACATTTCTAATGGCCCAATTTCCAATTGGGCCCAAACCCTTGCATGGGACCACCCTTTTTGAGTCCATTTACATTTTCTAAATCCTTGCCGATGTCCATAGGTAGTCCAACGAAACCCATGTACTTACCAACCCATAAGAAAGTTCGAATCCAAAATGGCCCAATAAGGCCCAAATCCATCTTGGACCTAACCCAAGAAGGTCCAATCTCCAAAAAGGCCTGAAATACTAAATAGGCTACCTAACCAACTCCTGGTCCATGGCCCAAAAAGATCAACAAAATAAAGTGAGTTAACCAGGCCGAGTATCCATGCATACTCAGATGGTACACCCATCGTACAACACTTTGGGCTAGTACGCACAACGTACCAGATGTACGCCCAACGTACTCCTTTGAAGTCCAACCCTCTCCAAACAAGCACTTAATCACTTCAGCCCTTGCTCCAACTCTCCAATCTGACTTATATAGGTGACTTTCCAAGTAAAGTTGGCAACTTTACTAACATGCATGGCTTAATGGGACTCTAGAGCTTAATGGATGATCTTAACTCATGCTTGGGCTCAAACACCTCACAAAGCTTGCACCTTTATGTGAGAAGGGACCTTAGAATGTCCAGATCTACAAGTTTGAGTCCCCAAAACGACCCTAGCTCACCAAGACCAAGCAAAAGGCTAAAATGGCCAAAAACCAACCCAAAAGAGGATCTATGAAATGGAAGGTCAAGATCAGAGCTTTTTACCTCCAATGGGTTGCAAAATATGAGAACTTTCTAGATATACAAGTTCCCTTCCATGATTAACACTCGAACACCGCCTTCACTTCTTGCACATACATATAAAAGTCTTCTTTCAAGCTCCAAGCTTCATCTAAGGTCATTCAGGGTCTCATGCCCGCGAAAAGGGGTGGAGGCTGATCTGAAATGACATAGGGAAGGATATAATGTGGCTTATATAGGGCACAAGTAGAGGAAATAGGGTTTTGGTATGAAGGGAGTACGCCCCGCGTACCTCCTTGTATGCCCAACGTACTCAAGAACCACCCGCGATAAAATTCGTTTATACATTGGGCGTACCCCAGCTAACCACGTGCATGCCTCCTTGCATGCATGTGAGTGATCTGCCAAATCTTTCCATTAGGGGCTAATTCAACCAAAACCTTCAAAGTGTCATAACTCACTCATCCTAAGTATGTTTTCCAACGAACCTTATATCCATGAAAAGGTGGCGAGAAGCCCTACGCTCCTAGCATCACACCCGAGCCTTAAAACCTTCCGAATAAAGCCTAAAATGCATAACAAGCCGATATATTAATTTACAGACATACCCTTGGCTCCCGAAGACACAATCGAATACATGGGTCACTTGAATCATAGCAACTGCATTCAAAATGGGCTAAATCCTTCCTTTCGCAGAGCTCTAATCCCATGACAACTAATGATTGAGCCGTAGCCCTAATTGATAAGGCAAATCTGAAACCGGGTGTTACATTTATTTTTTTATAAAAAAAAAGAGAAAACATCGTAAATGGTCCTTGTGGTAGTGAAATGATGAAAATATCTTTCAGTTAACGGACAAAACTTAACGAAATTAGCAATAAGAACTAATTGTTAAAAGTTTTGAAAGCACGTCGATTATCTATGAAAATTTTAAACATTTGGGACTAAACTTCAAATCTGAGAAAACCATAGAAACCATTTATAATGTTTTTTCGTGAAATTATAACTTCTCTTGATTATTTATGTTCCTCGGATGTTCATATTAAGATATGAAATTATAACATCATATTTTTAATTTGATGTTCATATAATAATCAAAATACCTTAAAATTAAATATTTTGATATTTAATCGTTTAATGGTTTAATATAATTTTACTTTTTAGATAAAAACATTATTATATTATAAAATCACATGCATGATTATACAACAAACCATTAAACTTGCTTTATTATGATGTAATTGTTGAATGCATGTTCTTGCCTAGTTTGGATATTGTTTGAATGTGTCTTTTAAACGATGAATGTAACAATTTGTTTGAATGTATGTTTTAAATGCAAAAAATGTATGTATTTTGGTTTGATCGATTTTTGAGTCGTGTTTGTAAAAGTTAATTTTTTTTCCATTGTATTTTATTTTTATTGTAAACTCTTAAACATCAAAAAAGAAATTTGAAAAAAAAAACATAAAAAATAAAACCATAAGCTATTTGGTTAAACAACAAGCAGACGGATTGACAAACGCTTGGGCCTAATAGCCTTGTCTGTCGTTGTTAGCGGCCTAGCTCAAGGTAGCCCAACAACCAGACGAGTTCAACAGAAAAATCAGGAATTGGAACCCATACATGTTTAAATGAAAAATTAGAAATCGAATCACATAAATTATCAAAAAAAAAAAAAAAAAACGGAACTAATGAGAAGAAAAGTAAAAAGCGTACCCGATGAGAAGAAGAGGAAGGAGACTTCAAAAAATCGGAACCGAAGAGAAGAGGATCGTCAACAATTGCTGGTTGCGGGAGAAGAAAGTATGCGCTGAAGGAGGAGAAGAAACGATGGAGGCGTTGATTTCTTCCATCGGCAGGGCAATGGTACAACTGAAAACTCTTCTCCCTTTCTCAATCAATCAACGTATTCCTTCTTACTCGATCAGACAATTCTTTCCGCGTCATGCCCAAATGTAGTTTATCAAACACCTTCAGTTGATAGAGTTAGCCAAAAATATCTGATCTAACTCGATCAGACGCATATCAAACATGATCTTAGATTCAACACGACACTACTCGGATCAGCCTAACACAATAGCAATTACACCCCATTCCAAAGACAACAATATTTTTTACGACCATATTCAACAAAAATTATGCCAATAACTGATAAATGCGTTAATGTTAGGTGGATCACCGCCTTCATCATAGGTAGATCACCATTTTATGTATATAATTTTACTATTTTTAGGTAAAGCGGACCGTTAACACTCATAAAATCATATGAATCATGAAGATATAACGATGTACTCTATCATAATCATGTAGTTTAGTAGTAATGCTATTTGGCTTTTATCACAAACTTCACTTCATTTTGTAAAATTCCAATAAAAATGGGTGATTTTGTAAAATTCCATTAAAACATGGTTTCCTGATAAAGCACTCCATTTTAGAAGCTTATCATAGTGAAATAGCTTTACTTTATTCCTTAGATTCATCTTAATGATCTATTTAGTTTTTACACCAACAAAATAGTGATTTATGTGTCAACAACCCTTTTTATTCCATTCAATCAAGACTTTGGAATCAATTTCTCCCAGAAGCCTAAAACACGACATTGATCTCCGTCTTGCCTTCGCCATCAAGGGAAATTGCATAGTTTCCATCTCTCTTGAATCTCAATCCAACAGAGGAAGCTATGGCTGGACTTGAATTCGTCAAAAAGTAATGCGAATACTGACAACAATTACACTTGTAGGGAGTCAGGCCACCTGTCAACTTCCGTCTCTTGTTTCTTCCTCTACTTCGGTCTCTCCGATCTGACCAAAAACCCTAGTGAGTTATTATTATCCTCGATTCGAAGAATAGATTGTTTAATTTTGGGATAACGTTGGGTGTCTGCGAGAAGGGAGAAACTGATCGGAAAATGGAGCGACGGGGGAGTCCTCCGAAGCATAGACACGATGGGACTTCGCCTTTGCCTTTGGGGATGGATTGGAGCCCTCCACCTAAAAAATGGGTACTGTTTTTGTTTATATCACGATTAAATTCTGATCCGATTTTTTATTTACTTTACTTCCGATCGAAGAATCGAGTTGGCTCTTTACTTACCTGTTCGTTATTCTGTTCATCGAAGTCGAATCATACGGGGATTATAGATTGGATGTGAAGTTTCAGACGTAGTAGTTATCATTGAATTCAATGTTTGAGATTGGAGCACAATTTCTTTCCCTATTCCAATTTTAAGTTCTGAATTTGTCTTGGTTGATGCTACTCCATTAGCTTAGTCCATAAACGCCATACTTATAGTTGAATGTGGATAGAAACTGTGAGAACTTGTTCATGCTCATCAAATGTATTGCTTACATGTGAAGTTGGATTCATTTGTTTGAAAGCTACTTTATTCTGTCTCCATAGGCAATTGGAATTTGCTTTTCGGAGGCAGTTATTTATGGGTGTTTGGATGTGTCTTTAAAGAGATCATTGTCACCCAAGTTTTCCACTCATAAGCTTAGATTGAAAACAAGATACAATCTTTCTCCATCACAAGTAATTGTGCTACTAAACTTGTATATATGATGTTTAAATGAAACAGTTAAAAGAATCCATAAAAACAAAGCAAAAAAACGTATCTATCTATCTATCTACAGTGACAATCTTGGAAGTAGATTGTGATACAATGAAAAGGAAGATCATATGTGGCTAATTTACACTGATTTCTATACTATATAATTAAAAAAAAGTGTTTATGATGTGAAATTTGTGTTTGAAAACTCCATATTCTGCAGAATGGGAGAGATACAATTTGGCCACATGATCCAAGAACAGGATGGAGTTACTGCATCACAATCCCAACATGGGTTGTCCTTCCAAAATCTAGAGACTCAGATCCTGTTGTGGTACTTACTAAAAATTAACTTATTATCTAAAGTCAAAAGGATAATAATGTAATTTTACATGTTTTTTTTTAACATTCTTAAGACAGTTTTATAGGGTTCAGGTTGGTTTACAATCTCCTGAAGGGGTCACAACAACACGAACAGTATCAAGAAGATTTAATGATTTCTTAAGATTGCTTGCTGCTGTAAGTGTTACATTTCCATTTGTTAATAAGCAAGATGGTGTTCATTTTCTTATAATGTTTTTGTTTTGTTTTTTTGTTTTTTTTTTTAAATATCATTTTTTGCAGCTTAGGAAAGCATTTCCCAAAAAGAACCTCCCACCAGCTCCACCAAAGGGACTCTTGAGGTTAAAAAGCCGAACTTTATTAGAAGAGGTGATAGTTACTGTTTGATTTTAGTCATTATTGATGAATGTTTTTGATATTTTGTTAAAAAATCTTTTATGGGTATTTAAGATTTGTATAAATTTTATTATGTAGAGGCGTTGCTCTTTGGAAGAGTGGATGACAAAACTGCTATCAGACATTGATATATCAAGAAGCATTGTAGTGGCATCCTTTCTTGAACTTGAATCTGCTGCAAGATCTTGTATGTAAATTCACTAATTACTTTCCTGAAAAAGACCTTGTATTTTTTCGTTTTTCCCAAAAAAAACCCTCAAGTTTGTCCCTTTTTTCGAAAAAAAACCCTCAACCTTCTAACTGTTTTTGAAAAAACCCTCTAACTTTTTTAGTTTTTTCCAAAAAAAACCTTCAGATTTCACAAGTTTTTTCGGAAAAAAAAGGGTTTTACGCAGAAAAGTCCCGTTATTTTGGGAATTTTTTTGATAAACTCCTAATTTTTTTCCCGTTATTTTGGGAAAATCACACACTCTGTCATTTCCTGTTACAATAAATAAAAAAGGACTTTTTCGTTAACTTTGGCAAAATCTAATCGGGACTTTTCTATTCAAAAACAAATAGATTTAGAACTTTATCAAAAGTTTTCCCAAAATAATGCGACTTTTCTGCATAAAACCTGAAAAAAAAATGACTAAAAGGTCTTTTTCTATCTTATTTCTTGTATAACTTCACACTCTATGAAAATTTCTTCTTTCTTCCTTACTAAAACATTATACTTCACAAACTTCACACTCAATTACAACAACTCTATCAAATACAAATCATTTTCAATACATTCCCAATAAGAAAAAAAAAAAAGTAAATTATTATTTCTTACACAGCATTCCAAGATGAAAATCCACAAATTGGAGAATCAAGTGCCACTGTATCTTCTTCTCCACATATTCATCCAAATGAATCCGAAAGCACACCAGATTACAACAGTGACACTGCTTATGATGAGACTTCAGAAATTGGAACCTCAAGAGACAACATATCAGAAGATTTATCTCTAGATGAAGATTTAGTGGGCCCACTAGAAAAGCTAGTCAAACATGGTGTTTCAAATATCGATGAAGGCTTATTAATGGGAAATGCAATTCTAGACCAAGTTGAAGGGTATTCTAGGAATTCAAATCATTCACGAGAGATTAACATGAAGGGTAGTAGTAGTAATAGTAGTGAGAAAAATGGTGATTATGTCTCTGAAAAGTTTTTTAATGGGAATAATGAGATTATTAAGGAATCAAATGATGTAAAAAATTTAGTTCTTCCTTTAGGGCAACAACAAAAGATGAATAGGGTTGTTGTAAGTATGAAGAGAAGACTTGGAACTGCAAAAACAGATATGGAGGATTTGATTTCAAGATTGAATCAAGAAATAGCAGTTAAAGATTATCTTACAACAAAAGTATGAATATGAATATGATTTTGAATTTAAAAATTTAAGAATGTGTTTTATATATTTAAATTATGTAAGTTTGATGTTTATATAATAGGTGAAGGATTTGGAGGAGGAGCTTGAAACTACAAAAGTGAGAAGTAAAGAAAATCTTCATCAAGCAATTTTAATGGAAAGAGAAAGAGTTACTCAAATGCAATGGGATATGGAAGAACTTAGAAGGAAATCACTTGAAATGGAGTTTAAATTGAAGTCTCAATCTCAACAGGTTTTTATTATTATTTATTTTACTATTAAACTAAGTTTACAACAATTATTAACAAGTTAAAGATTTTTCAGTATGAAAAGGTGGAGGAAACAAAATCTGTGATTGAAGAAAAAGATGAGTTGCTTCAGGAATTGGAAGATACCAAAAGTAAACTTGAACAAGTATCAAAGAAACATCAAGAATTAGAAATCAAATCAAAAGCAGATGTGAAGATTCTTGTGAAAGAGGTTAAATCCCTTAGAACCTCACAAGCTGAATTGAAACAGCAGCTTAATCAATCACTTATCGGGAAATCAGAGGCAGAGGTAATTAAAAAAATAATTAATTTTTTGGAATAGAAGGGTAAAATGGTAATTTTAATGTATTTGAAAATTGTGGTTAACAGAAACTAGTGCAACAAGAAAAAGAAAGAATGGAAGAGGAGAAAGCTGGTAGAATGAAGCTGCTTCACGAATGTGATGTTCTTCAAAAACGCCTAAAAGAGTGCAGCATGAATTTGGTAATAAATGGAAGTAGTGAGGACAAATTAGTAATTTGTTCTCCATCTGTTGAAGACGCTTTACAACTTGTGAAAATATCTGATGATCGAATGGAAGCCCTCCTTGCACAGGTACATTATAATATTTACAAACCAACATTTCAAAAAAAAAAAAAAAAAAACCCTAAAAAACATATTTACATATGTTGTGTGTTTTTTTTTTTTTTTTAATAAAAAATTGTTCAGGCGCAGATGTTAGCAGAAGATGATAGTTTTGATGATGGCGACAACCCAACAAATAATAATAATAAAAAACTTAGGAAAATATTATCGGAAATTCTGGTGGATAATATCACATTGAGAAGACAAGTGAGTCTTCTTTTTGATGGGGCCCTCAAAACAGGCGTCATAACAACAACAAAAGACATGGAAGTCTCATTGGATAAATCTTAAAAAGAAAAAAAAAAAAAACATGAGGTTGGTTGGTTGGTTGGTTAGATACAGAAGATGGAAGTGTACATATACCACAAATATATATCATAGCATATGATGCTTTACTAACATTACATTACCTTTGTGGGTAATTCCAAATTTTAGGGTTTGCTTCTTTTTTACTGATGCTTGTTTGTCTGTCTGGAGAAAGTGTTGTATACAAAATCGACTTTGGTCTTTCGAATCCTTTGTTTGATGTGTGTAATTGTTAGGTGTAGTTTAAATACAAAATCGACAAACCAACCCGAACTTTAAAATAACCAAAAATTCGAAGCTGAAAAATTGAATTAAAACTTCTTTTAAATGATGGTCTAGATTTCATATATTGAATTAAAACTTCTTTTAAACAGAATTTTTGTACGTAGTCGTTTGAAATGAACAACTCATCCTAGTTATCTAGATTTCATATATGTAAGAATCAAAGTTTCGGTTTGGATCAAACTCATAAAAATTGGTTTGAATGTGTCATGTTGGAATATTTTAGGCTTTAGATAACTAGGATGAGTTGTTTTGTCATCACTTTTTTAGGGGTTCTATCATCTTATATATAATTGGTTTGAATGCTTAAATTTTCTGTTATGGTTTTAATTTGCTGATTATAAAGTCTAACAATTTAGATTCTCTTATGGCATTTTGGCATTGGATCAATCTCGTAAACACAATGTACGAGAACGAACGAATTTGTAAATTACTAATGATTCAGCTATTATATACTATTTTGTACATAATAAGGCATTTTATGTTTAATAATTTTAAGATGGTTGATGTAATCTAAAGATGCTTAATAAATACAAATACAATTGGTTAGTAAAAGACAAACCACCAAATTTCAATTTTCTAAAGATGCTTAAAAAATACAAATACAATTGGTTAGTACGTGATTACAGAGAGTAGAGGTGTGAATTGATTTTTTTTTTTTTTTGCTAGCTACGTGGTCACACAGAGTAGGTTGATCTCGATCACAATGGCTAAGTAAGGAAAAAATCAACAATGAAGTGGAATGTCGATCACAGATTGAAGAGCACCATCGAACAATGTGAAAAATATGGAGACAAGGATGTACGTACGTATCCAATTAATCTATCTAACCCGATTCCGGTTCTTTTACGCAGACCCGTTGGACTCATACCCGGAATACCGAAACCCGGATAAAGCTATTCCTAAAACACGGTTTAGCATATTCCGGTCCGGTTTTCCGGTTATATATCTCATGCCTAGTAAGCAGTAATGGCCATACCTTAGCAACAATTGACACCTCCTTGAGTGAAACTTCCTAACCAGATTACGAAACTAAACCAAGAAGCCCTAAACATAGCTTTTTGTGAGCTTTAAAAAGTTGTTTACATAACTTTTCAAAAGTAACTAGAGGGTGTTTGGCTTAGCTTTTGAGGGACCAAAGTCCTTTTTTAAAATGACTTTTTATAAAAGTTGTTTTTTAAAAAGTGTTTGGTTTAACTTTACATGTAAAATGACTTAAAATGACATGTTTATATATTTACATTGATTAGGATAGCTGGGGGGTATAAAGGTAATTTAATGTTTTAAGTGGTTGAAAAATTGGAAAAGTCACGTTTACGTGACTTTTTAAATGGGGTGTTTGGCTTAGCTTTTAAGAGATCAAAAATCATTTTAGGAAAAGATAAAAAGTAAAAGATATTTGATAAAACCACTTTTAAAAGCTACTTTTGGATTTTTGATACAAGAAAAATGAACTTTTTGGAAAAGTCAGGAAAACCTCATTTTTGCAACTTTTCCAAAAATGACTTTTGACCTCTAAAAAACTAAGGCCCCGTTTGATATGCGTCTGACCGAGTCAAGTCAGACATTTTTGATAATCCAACTTTGGCCATCTGATTCGGTAAGAAATGTTTGATCAAGGAGTTGGCAGGAGGCTGACTGAGAAAGAAAGCAAGACTTTACAATAATACCCTTGACCTTGGATAAAAACAAGTGAAATGAGTGGTTACAAGGATTGAACTCGAGTCTCCCCTATACACACAACAATGTTTACCACCAAGCTAAAGGGTTTTTTGTGTTTTAATCTCTAAAGTAGTATATTTAATGTCTATTATGCTGGAAGTTTTTGTATACATTATTATTATTATTATTATTATTATTATTATTATTATTATTATTATTATAAAGAGCATCGTAAAATGGTCATTTTGCATCAGTCAGCACATTCACTCAGATGTATAATCAAATAGTATAGTTTCTTACTCAGTCAGAACTTATTACTCAGACAGACCTTTTTCAATCAGCACTTTCTCAGTCAGCAACTATCAAACGACCTCTAAGTCAAACACCCACAAAAAGACAAGATTTCCTCTATTGAAAATGTTGATTACAAAAGTTCTTTTCATTTTACATAGCATCTTTTTGATTTTTAAAAAAAGAGAAAAATATAAAAATCACTTTAAAAGCTATACCAACACCCTGTAATAGTTTCTTGAGATAAAAAGACAACAATACTTTTAATTTAACGTACACTCTCGATAACTCTGATTTATATATGGTTACATGACAAAAATATTTAAATAAAGTAATATATAACTTTTTTTGAATTTTTCTAGAAAATAAGAAAGATTATAAATTCTTAAATATATAATTATAAAAAACCAAAACTAGTATATTATAATTATGAACTTAATATTTAATATCAAACATTAAAATAAAATACTATTAAAAAAATATTATTAAAAAAATTAATTAGTTAATAAATAACAAATATTTAAAGCTTATTATAGTTAGAGAGTAAAATGAAATATCGTTGATTAAAGAAAGAGTTACTGCCATTATAGAGAGACTAAAAAAACATTTAATTCATATAATCTTTGAATTATTCTATCAAAAAGTGTATTGTCTACCAAAAGGCTTCTAACCATCGATATCCGGTGTTGTCATGCCTTTTTGAGGTTAATGGTTCAAGTGCTATAGTGGACATAAGTGAAATTAATGAGTAATTTAGGATTAGAATAGATTTGTTGTTTAGAACAAAAATGTGTATTCTCTCTAGTAGTAAAAATTAGTTGTAACACCCAAAATTAGGAAGGCCAAGAAAGGAAAGAAAACACTAAGTCAAAGGGTCAACTCGTCAAGTCCCAGGAGGAACTCGACGAGTCGGAGCAGGATCCGGGGGATCGATTAAGCAACCGACTCGGCGAGTCGGCTAAGGGGACTCGACGAGTCTGGTCTGAACAAGGAAAACCCTAATCCCGAGATTTGTATCCTATATAAAGGGTGTTATGTCCCTTCCTCAACCTCCATATCATCCTAGAGAGCCTGTAACCCTAGATTTCGTGTGAGCTTCCATCATTTGAGAGAAATAACTTTGGAGGAGGGAACCTTTGAAAGGAACTTGAAGATCAAGAGGGTTGCTTCAAAGGAGTGGTGTAGATCCGAGATCTACTTCAGTTTGTGTTCATCTTGGAGGTAATAAGTTACTATCTTCCCTCCTTTGCATCTAGATCTATTTTTTGTTATGAGATTTGGGGGTTTTATGGTTGTTTGAGACCCAATTCGGGTTTGGGGCTTAGATATGTGGTTGCCACTTCAGATCTAGTGTTGGGATGGTCCAATATGTCGTAAAGCATCAAATTTTGAGTAGTTGGTGAAGCCCTTTTTTCCTAAAACCTAGCCCTAGAGTGTTTTGAGCCTAGATCTCTTTAGTTATACGTAAAGTTTGCAACTTTACGTAAGGATTGAGCTTTGGAAGTATGGATCTATGATTTGGAGCCCCTGCATGGCTCGAAAAGCCACTGAATGGATTAAGAACTGGAGCGACTCGGTGAGTCACATGGGTGGACTCGGCGAGTTGGATGAAGTTGGGCAGGAACTCGGCAAGTTGGAAGAACAACTCGGTGAGTCTGTTGAAGAGTGCCTTGGACTCGACGAGTCTGTTGGACTCGGCGAGTCAAGTCGCGAAGCCCCAAACCCTTTGAGTTAAGACTCAGATCAGTGAGTTGAGTGGGGACTCAGTGAGTTGGACAGATCATGACTCAGAAATCAGTAGACTCGACGAGTCAGGGGGCAGACTCGGCGAGTAAGGTTGACCTGGAAGGTTGACCTTGACCAGAACCAGGTTGAACTTGACCAGAACTTTGACTTTGACCAGATTTGACTTAGTTGACTTTCATAGGACAGTTAGACTAAATGTTGCATTGATATTGGTAGCTCGGGGAGCTAGTGGAGCAGGAGTTCAGAGAATTTCCGAGCAGCAGCTAGAGGGGTCATCAACAAGTTCAGCAAGTTCAGGTGAGTTACCTTCCAGTAGCGGTGGGTCTACGGCCATAATGCCGACCCACCAGTAGGAGTTGTATGTTAGATGATTGTCTTTGTGATATCATCTAGGTTTGCTGCTACCTGATATGTTATATGCTGGCATGATATGTTATATGTGATAGTAGTAGAGTTCGGTTGTTAGGACCGAAGGGTAGGTCACACACCCCAGATATGTCTGACAGTATGTGATGATATGTTTATATGCTGGCATGATATGTTATATGTGATAGTAGTAGAGTTCGGTTGTTAGGACCGAAGGGTAGGTTAGACACCCCAGATATGTCTAACAGTATGTGATGATATGTTTATATGCTGGCATGATATGTTATATATGATAGTGGTAGTAGGAAGGGAATAGTCCCCAAGTTCGGTTGTTAGGACCGAAGGGTAGTTTGGACACCCCAGATATGTCTGATAGTATGTTTATGTTATGATATACGTGATAGTAGCAGTAGGGGGTGGAATAGTCCCCGAGGGTCGGTTGTTAGGATCGACGGATAGGTCAGCACCCTAGAATGGCTTGACACGGGTAGGTCAGCACCCCATAATGGCTTGACACGGGCAGGTCGGCACCCCAGAATGGCCGTACCGGGTAGGTCGGCACCCCAGAATGGCCGTATCGGGTAGGTTGTGCACCCCAGAATTGCCCGGTAGTATGTATGCTTTGCGATTATTTGGCATGTGGTAGGTTTGGGAGCTCACTAAGCTTCATGCTTATGGTTTTCAGTTTTGGTTTCAGGTACTTCCAGTAGCGGAGGGAAGAGCTCGG